TCCATTGAGGGGTGGGGGTATTACACATCGTAAAAATATGTGATTTTAGAGAAAGGGGAAGGGGGGAGAGAGAGAGAGAGAGACAGAGAGACAGACAGACAGACATAGATTTGTGTTCCACTTATTATGCATTTATTGGTTGATTCTTCGTATGTGCTCTGACCAGAGATCGAACCGAAACTACAACCTTAGGGAATTGGACGATGCTTGAACCAGCTGACCTACCCTGCCTCCTGTCTGTCCCCTACTGGGGATGAGGTCCCAAACTCAGGCATGTGCAAAGGACTACAGCTCTACCAACTAAGCCACACCCTGGCCCACGTGGGTTTTTTAAAAAAAAAATAGCCATCCTAGTGGGTGTGAAGAGGTACCTCATTGTGATTTTGATTTGCTCTTTCCTAATGACTAATGATATTGAGTATCTTTCATATGCTTATTGGCCCTTCCTTGTATATTGTCTTTGGAGAAATGTCCTTTCAAGTTTTTTGCCTGCCCCCAAAACAACTTGGGTTGTTTTTATTGAGTTTTAAGGAGTTCTTTGTATTTTCTGGATATTAATCCTTTGGAATTTGACTTTTTTATATTAAATTCTTTGAATACTTTGTCATGTTCACATTACTTTTGTACTTTACCAAAAAACCTCATCTGTTACCCTTTCTTATCTGTTACCCTTTCTTATACTAAAGAAGGATTTAAAAGAAAAACAGTCACCATCATCATCAACTGAGCCTCAAGGACAATTCTTCAAAAAAGGACAGTTGGAAGGCCTCACCCTGACATTTCCATGGCACAGACTGACCCGTGGTCTTGGCTGTGCTGCAGTAAAATGATGAGCACTGGGGTCTGGGCCAGAGCCTGGTGCTGATGGGCCCACGTGTGGCCTCTGGCAGGTTCCCTGATTTGGCCACAGGAATAGCGTGTAAGAACATTGGTTGAGAGTTTTATATAGCCTATGCTTTAGGGCAGCCATGGGCAAACTACGGCCCGCGGGCCGGATCCGGCCCGTTTGAAATGAATAAAACTAAAAAAAAAAAAGACCGTACCCTTTTATGTAATGATGTTTACTTTGAATTTATATTAGTTCACACAAACACTCCATCCATGCTTTTGTTCCTGCCCTCCGGTCCAGTTTAAGAACCCATTGTGGCCCTCGAGTCAAAAAGTTTGCCCACCCCTGCTTTCGGGTCAGGCTGACCTGGCTTCTGAACCTCAGTTTTCTTATCTTTGAAAAGAGGCTAACACCTACCTTGGTGGGGAGATGTAAGGATAAAATGGGCCCAGTCTCTGGCTTGGTGAATGATAGTTATTAACTCACAATGTTATTTAAAGAGTGGCCAAGCGGGAGGGATCCAGAAGGAGTGTGACAAGCTGAGGTTGTCTAGAGCAGCAGTCGCCAACCAGTGGTCCGAAATGTTGGCAACCACTGGTTTAAGGAAACCTTTGGAGCAGCGGTCGCCAGACTGGTGGTCTGTGAGGTCCAAAAGGTTGGCGACCGCTGGTTTTAGAGCAAGCTCTGTGAGCGATGATGTAGCAGGATGCATAGCGCATGAAAATCTTCTGCCTCCAGCTGTGACCTTGCCCCCCTCCCCATTGCCTACCTCTCATGAGGCCACTGGGTACTAATGTCACTCAATGTCTGTGATCTTGGTTTTCTGGCCTCGTGAATGAAGAAAGGGGTTTGGCTTACAAACTGACCACAGAGTGGCCCTCCCTTTAGAGACCAAACTTGGAAGCCCCATCTGAAACTCGTATTTGGTCACAATGCTGCTCAGAGGAAGTAAGCCAAGCCTCCTCCTGCAGTGGAACACTCCTTGATCCAATCAGGGGGCTGTTGTCTGCTGTAGTTTCTCTGGGGTAGCTTCCAGAAGCCCCTCCTTCCTAATACTCCCTTTCTCTCTTCTCCCCAGTTTTCATGGGCTGCCCTGGGCAAGAGTCGGCCCTGCTTAGCACTGATCACGATTTCACTGCACTGAACGACACAACAGTCCAGGTAAAACACTATGTCCACCCGTGTGTGTGGGGGGGGAGTGGGTGAGGTGTTCTTCGTGCATGCCCAGATTGCTGCTGTGAGCCACCTTATCCCTTCAGAGGAGGTGGTGTTAGCCCTCAGGTACCATGGTGTAGTGCTTGCAGCTGCCCAGGAGGGGCGGCAGAGAGCTGCCTTGTGCGTAATGGTCCAATGCTCTTGTAACCTCGGGTTCTTTCTCTCACCTCTCTTTTCTTTCCCATATCATCTGGGTAAACCCCGAGGGAAGGCAATTCCCACACAGAACTGCCAATCCCATGAGCCCCTGGGAAGATGGACATGAGGCACTTGGTCACACATTGTTTCTTTTAATTTAGTTTTTTGAATAGCTAATATACTAGTATACATGGTTCAAAAATAAAAAATACATATATTTAAAATTATGCAATGAATTACCTCCCCTTTTTTCTCTCCATCTGCCTAATGCCCTCTCCACCCCTTTCCCACAGATAATCACCATTATTAATTTCTTCTGTGTTCCCTCAGACTTCGTCTATAAATAAGCAAATATGAAGATATGGTCTTATTTTCCTACCTTTTTACACAAAAGATGGAACAGTGCCTGGCATCTGTTAAGCACTATGTGTTCGTTAAATAAAATGCTAAACTGTTCTGTACCTTGTTCTTTGCTCTCAACAGTACACATCAAAGGTCTTTCCATGTCAGCACATAGAGAGCTTCCTTACTCCTCATTTTTAGAGCTGCGTTGTACTCCACTAGATGTATGTACTGTAGAATTTTCCATTGGTCCTCTGGACCTTAGATTATTCCAATTTTTCTTTTGCCTTAGACCCATCCAGGTCTGCCTCCTGACCCTTAACTCCTGTAGGTGAGGATGGTGGGTGTGTTCCAGCTGTTTGCATATCTCGGTTAAGGGGTCTTCTCTCCTTACAGGAAAGTAAGGCTCTGAGGACCTCTCCATCCAAACGTATCTTACGAAGACGCAAGAGAGAATGGGTGTTCCCGCCGCTGTCTGTCCCTGAGAATGGCAAGGGTCCCTTCCCTCAGAGGCTGAATCAGGTATGACTGTGCTTTCTTCCTGGGCGTCATTGGTGGCTGCAGGGACCCTCACCTAAAGGCCTGAATAGAGGTTTCTTGGTGCTGAGCACTGGGGCCCACCGAGGAAAGCCTCTCTCGTGGCACCAGTTTCTGATAAGGCAGCGCCTCCTCACCCATGAGATACTTGTCACTTGGTCAGCTGCCATTTTTTATTTTGCTTCCAGCTCAAATCTAGCAAGGACAGAGGCACCAAGATTTTCTACAGCATCACAGGGCCTGGGGCAGACAGCCCCCCTGAGGGTGTCTTCACCATAGAGAAGGAAACGGGCTGGTTGTTGTTGAATAAGCCACTGGACCGGGAGAAGATTGCCAAGTATGAGGCAAGTAACCTTTAGCATCCAATGAGAAGCAGGGCCCCGGGGCCTGGTGGGAAGGGTGGCGCCAAGCTGACCCCAGACCTGTGCACCCACAGCTCTTTGGCCACGCTGTGTCAGAGAACGGCGCCTCCGTGGAAGACCCCCATGAACATCTCCATCATCGTGACAGACCAGAATGACCACAAGCCCAAGTTCACCCAGGATGTCTTCAAAGGGAGTGTCTTGGAGGGGGCACTGCCCGGTAAGAGGATTGGGGAGGGGATAGCTATCGAGGTCTGTGGCCTTGGGTCGACTTAAGGTACCATCTGGAGATCAGCCCAGACCCTTAAGGCTAGAAGGACCCTCTACCTCTGACTTCATTGGCTGTGCAACAGATCACCTGGGATCTTCTTTAAAATCCAGATGCTCCTACTCCATCCCAAGATCCCTGAGTAAGAGTGATCCTGGACTCGAGCTCTGGAATCTATATATGAAAATGTCCCAGAAGCCTCAGATGATCAGCCAGGTTTAGGAACCACTAGCTTTGGAGCTACAAAGACCAGATTTGAATCTTGATTTCGCCTCTTTACCTGCTGTGACCCTAGGCAAGTTCTTGACCTCTGAGCCTCAGTCCTCACATCTGAAAACGGCAATAATATCAGCCTTAAAGGATTCTGAAGATTAGAGATAATACACCTAACTTATGTAACATGAAGCACCTGCCACGAGGCTCTGCAGTGAATGGCAGCTGCAGAAAAGCAGTAGAGGCTAGGACAGTGATGGCGAACCTATGACACGTGTGGCAGGTGACACGCGAACTCATTTTTTTGGTTGATTTTTCTTTGTTAAATGGCATTTAAATATATAAAATAAATATCAAAAATATAAGCCTTTGTTTGACTATGGTTGCAAATATCAAAAAATTTCTATATGTGACACGGCACCAGAGTTATGAGTACGCGTGTCATAGGTTTGCCATCACTGGGCTAGGAGGTCCTGGAGCATGGTTTATGCTGAGTGAACAATAAATTCCCAGGGCTGGAGAACAGGGTGGGGGAGGCCAGCAGCAAACCAGGAAAATAGGTACATAGTAATGCTCTCAAAGACGGGTCCTGCTGGGAAGGGGTCCTCTTCCTTCCTCTCCGAATTGTAGACAATACATACAGAAGTATAAATTGGTTAGACTGCCAATAACAGAAATTCTCAAAAGAAACACAGTACCTTAAACAAGATGGAAGCTTCCCACCCCCACCCCTTATATTTAGGAAGCCTACAAGTGGTCAGTTCAGTCTGGAATGGTATTGTCCAGTGTTGGAGACCTAGACTCCATCTATCTCCTTGCTCTGCTATTTTGGCGTGGTTCCCAAGGTTGTCTCATGGTTGCTGCTGGAGCTCCAGCCATTCCATGTGGGACAAGGGGAAGGGTGGGAAGAATAAACCCATACTCGGAAAAACACTTCCCCCAAAGTTGTAAATCCCATTTGTCAGAATTTAGAGTTATGGTCACAGCTAGCTGAGGAAGGGATGGGAAATAGTCTTTGTTCCAGGTAAGCCTGTGCCCAGCCTCAAGTGATTGTGGAGGATTATGTCTCTAAGAAAGAAGGGAGGGAGGAGAAGGGGAGAATGTAAAATGGGCACCAATTAGCGATCTCTGTCACAAAGTGGAATATGAGTCTAAGCTGCTGAGCAGGAAGGGGGCTCACTCGTCCTTTCTCCCCTCCAGGTACATCTGTGATGCAGGTGACAGCCACAGATGAGGACGATGCCATCAACACCTACAATGGGGTGGTTGCTTACTCCATTCACAGCCAAGAGCCAAAGGACCCTCCTAACATGTTCACCATCCACCGGAGCACAGGCACCATCAGCGTCATCTCCAGTGGCCTGGACCGGGAGGTGAGTGGCCCTTAGGAAAAGTGCTGCCTACCCAGGTTTGTCCAGGCCAGGGCCTGACACTCAGAGCAGAAGCCTCTGGCCCTGCCCCCAAAGCCCACGGTGGAACAGTGGGGACCCACGTCAGCTGGCAGTGGTTGCTGCTCCGTTCCTATGCTGGTGTCCCTCAGCTCATTGGGCCAGTGGCATGCCGCCAAACCATCTTGTTGAGGCTGAGGAGGCAGCTATAAAATGCAGACATTTGATATTTTCTGTAGGTTTTCTCATTTCCTCTCGGAACGGCTCACTTAGCATGCACATGGCCCAGATTTGTCCCCCGTGGACCACAATGTAGAATTAGCTCCTTGGATACTGGAGTTGCCTCCTGTTTCCTAATTAATTCCTTTGACCACATCTCTGCTCAAAGCTCTCATTCTGCATCTGCCCAGGGTCAGGGGGCAGTGTCCAGGCTTCAGCCCCCGACAGGCCCAGGGATGCTGTTTGTATGGACAGTTTCCCTCTCCTCCCATCCTTTGCTTCTGTTCTTTCGGGAGGTGGGTTGAGGAGTCAAGAGAACACTGTGAGAGGGAGAAACATTCTGCCGCCCTCCGCATTCTCCCAAGGCTGCACTTGCCGGGGATCTTGTCCCAGCATTAAGAAGGGTTTGGGAATCTGGAGAAGGGGCTGTGTGTAGATGACATAGGAGTCCAGAGACTAATAAAGAGTCCGGAGACAAAATATAATTTTGAAAGGCACTGGGGTCAGAGGAGCTTAGCTAAAGGAGCTAAGTTCTAAGATCTTAAGTCTAAGGTCTTAGGTTCTCTCCGTCCCCAGGGGTCAGGGTTTGGTACAGAGTCCATTGTCAGAATGGGGGAATTAGCCTACGGCTGTACAGGTGTTTGGCCAGCAGGAGGCAATAACATGTAGATTAAGATGCCCTTTAACTGACTGGCAGCCACAATCAGTTTCCTATTCAGGTTTGGGGAAATGCCTTTAGCCATTCCCAACAAGTGGCTACATGTGTGACTCAACCCTGTTGAGTCCCCAAGTCTCATCAACCTTTTGATGAAACTCTTGAAATTATGACATGCTGGAATTGGTCCCTGGCATGCACTCTCAGTGGCCTCCACTCTCCTCTCCTCCCCAGAAAGTCCCTGAGTACACACTGACCGTCCAGGCTACCGACCTGGACGGGGAAGGCTCCACCACCACGGCAGTGGCCATCGTGGCAGTCCTCGACGCCAATGACAACGCTCCCGTGTTTGATCCCCAAAAGGTAACGCCTCTTCCTTCCTTCCCTCTTCCTGCATCAGCAATGAAGGACAAGGGGTTTCCTTTCCAATGAAACTCCAGGACCAGCTTATGTTGCTTCAATTCCAGCCCCACCACCTACGAGCAGTGTGACCTCAGGCAAACTCCCTAACCCAGCGGTTCTCAACCTGTGGGTCGCGAACAATGAAAATACATCCTGCCTATCAGATATTTACATTACGATTCATAACAGTAGCAAAATTACGGTTATGAAGTAGCAACGAAAATAATTTTATGATTGGGGGTCACCACAACATGAACTATATTAAAGAGTCGCGGCATTAGGAAGGTTGAGAACGACCTCTCTGTGCTGCATTTCCTCATCTGAGAAACGGGGATCATGATAACACCTGCTGCATTGTTCTGAGTTTTAAATGAAATCATCTGTGTAACACAACCCCTGGTGTATAAGTCCATATGAGAATCTTCGATGATAAAAAAACTTCTGACTTACCCGCCCACACAGTGAATGCTTGTACATTCCAGTGACAGAACTCGGGGCCAGTTGAGACGATACCTAACTCCCTTCTGTCTTGAGGCAGCTTTGGCTGCAGAGCATTACTTAAGGCTGATTAAAGTTTGTTCCAAGCAGTTGACTTCCTAGTCGTTGTCATCTGTTCTAGAACTTCCAAAAAAGATCCCGGTCCCTGCCCCAGAGCACTTACGCCTTCCTGATCTCAACTACATAGGTGGTCACACTGGAGGGGGTTGGGTACCCAGACCGGTGAGGTTCCTGGAGTATCAGGCCCTTGGGTATAGGGAAAGCAGGCCCGAGATGGCTGTGGTCTGTCCCAGCAGCTGGGAGGCCGG